TGCTCTTCCGATCTATGTGAGAGAGCTAAAATACAACACAGGTACACGTTTGGACATTTGCTCCTGATCGTGGTAGTTTGTATAAAAAATTTGGATCATGGCCCCCTCTAGAAAAAATCCTGCGGACGCCCTTGCAAATGACTCTCTCATCGCGTTACGCAAGAACATTTATATATATATAGAACTACGTGTACACGTCTGTTTAATTTCGCCGGAGAGATAGATCCCTCGGAGCGTAATATCACGGCACATTGCGTTGCAACGCGTTCGCAATGAACGTAGTGCAATGAAACTTGTCTCCACTGTAACAACCGCAGTCGGCGCAAATAACAATACATGAATACTGCGGAAGAAGAAAGTTGGCAGAATCCGCCGCGACGCGAAAGAAAGCCTTGGCGATGTTGGTCATAGCGAGGGAGAGGGGGGGAGGGGAAAAAAACCCGGACGTTCTTCATTCTCGTAGAAGTAATTCGCTTTTCGATTGTGCGGTTCGCGGTTTATGCGGCAGATGCAGATGCGGAATAATGAGAGAGAGAAAATGGCTTTTGCAGAAACTGGACATTAATCTAAAGGCCATATTGAATGGAAAATTCATTGGATTACTATCACTCATTTTGAAGGATTATAGAATCTATACTTCTCTCTCGATAACTGTTTTTAAATAATTAAAGAGTATTGTGTAAGATATAATTATATACACGGAAAGATAGGTTTGCCTAGTAAGATTTCAAATCCATAGCGTACGCAACATAAATGTCGGTTTATTTACTGAAGACGTCATGCACGGAAATATCCACGTATATAACCACCGCTACTTTTCTTTTCGACGGAGCTTTTCCAGTCACGTTTGCACCGCGAACGAATCCCGCGTGTGTATATTTTCGTTGGTAAACGCCTACGAATTAATTATGAATCGCATTGTACTTCGCGACCGTGCGAAACGAATTAACTTGAGTTAGTTCCAGGTTTATCGCTGCACGGCTTTCCTGTAAAGCGGCGATTATTATGGCTCTATATTTACGTATGTGCGAACATGATGAAGTAGCACGAGAAGATATTCCTTACAGTGGAGAATACTTATGACTGAAACGATGAAATGATAATGACGTAAGTGAATAATTTTGAAAAAAAAATGTAAATTACCGCAAGACAATTTCATGACTTTGTAACGCGGCATGCGGGATGTGGAAACAGCAAGTTAGAGATAGAGGCGTACGGTAGGAAAAATTACTGGTGCGCTAATCGAAAGACAGCGGAATGATTCTTATGATCAAACAGAAAAACGCACGGTATCCTGAAACGGGTATAAAGTTTCATATGGAATGTAGGACAAGAGAAATGAACGTAAATGAACAAAGAATCGTTTCAAAGATCCTTCCTCCGTAAAAACTGCAATAAAAAAATTCTTACAAAACACAGAAGTATTGTGTAAACCAGAAAAGTTATTTGAAGTATAGACAATAGAAGAAAATGTTCTTTTATTATTTGTGATTGACACAGTAATCTTGGATTTCACTAATCATTTCCCATCGCAAAAATGGATTTTCAGGTTCAATGACCATAACGTCGAAATTTTCTATGCCAACAAAGTGATCAGTAAGCTGCAAACTATAATACGTCCATCAAAACTTAGAATTTAGAAAGTTCTTGTTTACTCCTATCTCAGATTGAAATAAAAAAATGCACAATAAAAATTTTTGTAAAATATACTAAAATGAAAATATGTATCAATACAACAATAATCGATAGAACTTACAATTGATAGAAGCGACTTCAAATATACCAAAAACTAGCCTTTTATTTCGTTAAATAATAAATAATTGTATAATATATTTCAAAATTAATTATGCATAAACAAAAGCGAACTGAACTATGTTTACAGCTATATGTTGACAACTGTCAAATTAATGATATATAAAAATAAATATGATTTAAGGAGCAATTCCCAAAATAATAAGATAACTTTTGATTTTATAAGTCTATTCTATTGTAACTGTTTTATTAAAAAATATTTTTATGTAAATAATTTTTGTAAGAATTTTTATTTGTTGTTAATCGCTTCTGATATTACAATCTGAGATAGTAGAGGTGAACGAACAGAAGTCTTAAATCGAAAAGAATTTTAAATCAGTTTACATAAATTTATTTAATCATTTATTTGCTATAAAAATTAATTTATATGGGGATTTATATCAAAATTTATAGATATATTGTCAAAATTTTTATGTTATACATTTTTGACTGATTTTTTGCCTTATAAGATAACCTTTGAAGCCGGTTTAGTCATAGCTCAAATTAGTCCCTTAGAAACAAAAAACTTGGATCGTTCGTCTCTCTTTCTCCTTCTTATTCCGAAAGACCTCAAGTTCAAAAGCGCCGATTACTGTAATTTACTTGGCAATCCACAGGTGCGCTTTTGTCAATGCTTTTCCTTTTTTAGAAAAGGCCCGTTACTGGTGTAATCTACTGCCGAATTTCTTGGAAGGCTACTTTTGTACTCGACGAGCGATTGCTGATTGTAACATGCGATCATCGTTAACACATTAAATCCCACAATCGTCGCATGACACAAATACGGTTGAAAATTGTCATAAATTCTATATTCTTATCAGATTATTCTTTTCTTTATTGCTTATTGTTCTGATTCAAGAAAACAGAGCGAACAAAATATATTATGTATATTTTTTTATTAAAAGGATAGTTATATATGCTAAATTATATTTTTAAAGATTTTTTAGAAATATAGAATTAAAATTGCCATTTAAAGTGTTAAAATACTATGCTTACAATAAAAATCTTTATTAATTAGTAAGAGAATTCACTAAAAAAAAAAATTCAATGCTTAAGATAAAAAACTATTATGTCATATGTGCATTTGAAGAAGCGTGCTTTTTTTCTATTCGTTTTATAAGTAGTAAATTGTTGAAATATATACATAAATTCGAAAAATTTAAAAGATTAATTTTACCATTTTATATTGTGCTATTAAAACACCAGCCTCAGGCATCAACCCGCACATTTTTTCAGAGATACACCTGCATATATAAAGTATCGAATGTTACCGAGCTTCAGGCATTGCGCTTGCGGTTGTCAGGAAAAACTTGTCCGACTGGTCATGCATAAAATACATCGAGTCTATTGACACGAAGACCAACAAGAGCAAAGCACTTGGAAGAGCACGAGACTGCGGTGAAACGTACAAACCCTTAATAAATTGTTCTTTTTTCTGATATCACCGCAGCGCGGAATTTACATAACGCGAACTACGCGTCTTCTATTACGCTTCCTGTTCAAATAAAAAACAATTCAGGTTTTGTATATTTATAAGTAATGCATGAAATATACGCTAAATAAGGATTATATGTATTAGCTTCCAAGCTAATATTCATTCATAAGATCATAACGCAACGCGATGATTTAATTCGCATGTTATATTATACCGCAGATAATATAGATGTAGAAGGAATGCATAATAGTACGCTATGGCAAACTAATTGTGACTAATTATATGATAAACACGGAAAGGGAACACTGTCACGGCATAGTTGGCTTCAACTGATCGGCCGCTCAACTTCGTGCGAAACAGGTCAAACAGGTGTGACAGAAGGCCTGGTAGGTGTGTGTGCCACATTTAAATAAATATCTATCCAGTCCCAAGATAAACTTTCATGCGAGTTGACAGACTAACCTGACACGTATTTTTTTCGTTCGCACTCATGATCAAGTGATTATATATATATATATATATATATATATATATATATAAATTATTTTATTTCTTTTATTAATATTCGTTTTGCAGTATAATTTTATTATGTATATATAATTTTATTATATATACATAATTACAAAATATTTTGGTAAATTTAAATAAAATAAAGATAATTAAAAATATTATTTTAAATTTGACATAATATTTCTTATAACTTGTTAACACTTAAAAATTAAAAATAATTATCAAGAAAGTAATTTTAAACAAACTATTATAAACAATGAGACATGTATTTTAATATAGTTTATATAAGAAAATTTATACATACATTACATATATATGTGTTAAATATATATATATATATATATATATATATATATAAAACAATACAATATATTTTTTAAAACAATCAAAATTTTAACATAATAAGATAAATAAAATTACAATAAAAACAACATCATATAAAAATAATTTGATTTTAATGTTTGATTTGTGTAATTTGAGTTTTAGATAGCAGTATAGTAGAATGTCATAAAATAATACTTTTTATTAGACTACTCGTCCACTCGACTATACGATGACTACTTTACACCTTCGAGGCCACCAATGGAATGTTGTTACTCAGCGATGATAATACAGCTCGCTGATTACCGTGGAGCTCGAAGCCTCCTCAGGGTCGCTCAAGTTACGTCGTAATGATGCCCAGGCGGCGAACCGGTTACGGTCCCGGACCCTAGGGCCCTGCCACTGCACTTATTTGGCCCCGAGACCGCCCTCCATCACTAAACCGATCCCGAGGCAGACGAAAATAAGAATAAAAGGGCGCGAAGGAACCCACAAAAATTAACCACGCGCTCGCTCGCACCTGGTCCGACGATGAAAACACGTAGTCAAACTGGCTCAAAAACCCTTCACCACAAGGAGAGACTCCAATAACTCTTATAGATGCTACTTCTCACAAAATAATCTATCTACACAAAGGAAAGGTCTGTAAATGAAACAAACGTCATTGCACAAATATGTACATACGAGCGAATCTTGCACACGGCGCTATAAATAACGCAGCGTATTGCATGTAAATTTTGCTTAAAGTACTACTTAACATCAATCACTGCTCGATACAATTCGCATAATAGCAATCGGAATTTAAATTGATGTTAACATCACGAATACAATGCAATAAATATTCGTGTCGATCCGCCCCCGCAATTTTTAATTCGTTCCATTACTCCGACGACAATGGAACGATGGCACAGCGTTCCCAACTTCTCTTCCTCCCGATAACGCGCCGCCAAGCGCCACGTGAGCATCTCTGGAGCGCACAATACGCTGGATAGTCGCGCTCCATTTTTAGGAAGATACAACACCTCGCTGCGCCAAAGGGGGTTGGACTTATAAATCCAACGATAAATCTATCACCGGCAAAAGCTGACCGATATCGCGCCTGTGGCCGCTTGCCAGAGCCATCCCGCAAGTCTTGTATTATACAGTCGCATGCCGGACAATCCCTTTCCTCCTATTTCGCATAGCTATGTATCCTGCCAATCGCCAATGGTCCAGCTCCAATCATTTCTTCTTCTTTCCCGAATGAGCGAGCCGTAAAAAGCACGATTTATTCCAGCAACATTATTTTTTCTGTTTGCTACTTGGTCGTTATTTGCAGCCAGAAAGCGAAGCCCTTCGAGCGAATCCTCAAGGACGGGCGCTTCCTACTCGTAAATAAGAAAGTCCATAAATTGACCGCAAGATATTCGACGCGCTTTCATATTTACACTCATATCTTATTATGCAAATGATAGAATTCCGCAGCAGTCTATTGTTAACACGAAGAAATTAAAAAATTGTATGCATAGAATAAATTGCATTCATTGAGTAAATATCAATAAAGTTTATTTGTATAATCAACGATCCTTGCCTTAATGCGTAAGGGCTCTTGTAAATTTTTTTTTTTCAAAATATTAAATTTATCCCAGAATCAAACAATTGTATAAGCCGTGTTAAAGTTCCAATACTCGACTCGCAGGGTACTTCGTTAAGGATCCACTCTGCTAAATGGAACGTTTGCGTGTCAGTAAATTATATAACATTGTTAGTTACTCGGCGATGTCCATCTATGATATTGCAGGGCGTCACACTCCCACAGGGGAAGGTAAATAGACGGTGATCCTGCAAACTATCGTCCAGTCGCGGTCAGTAATATACGTGTAGATCGTCGAAGCAACATGTGCCGCACCATAATTTGTCGTTAACTTCTTCCATATTTCTTCCTGCAGTCAATCACAATTCAATCTCGTAAACGAGGAAAGCTTGTTATCACACCGAATTGTTCAAGGAAAGTGTAGAAGTCTTTAAGAGCAAGGGGATGGTGTGTACATAAAATTTTTCAAACTGTTAATGAGATACCTGCACTGAAAAAAGTAATCTTGCAATTATAGCGAGAGTTATTTAGGTACGAAAAATTAGCTAAAACGGATAAGTGCTATAAATTCTACGTATTACAGACAATTTTTCAGCAGATACAAAAAACAGCGATGTAATTTAAGTGTAATATTTATAATTCTAGCTGGAACGGCACATTTCCCAACGAAACATTTCCCTGAGTGTGGATTCGCGCGCAAGTTGTAGCAAACGGCATAACCGATAAATCGTCTACGTGAACAACGCACAATGTCCAAAATATACGATATGAGTGCAGTACACACGCAGAACCCATGCAATATATTTTCGCTTAAAACGGATCTCATTACATCGACGAGTCCTACGAAAATGAACATCATTATACCAATTATCCCCGCGTCCGTGCGTAATATCATGGATTTCACGCTGGTGGTGGCAGGCATTAGCCTAAATGCCTTTCTCGGTCTCTTTATCGTATTAAATTCTACCATGCACACCTCCACCAACTGTTACATAGTGAGCCTGGTATTGTCGAACTTCGTAATCCTGCTCGAACCACTTGAGCGAGTATTTCATTGGATTTTCGATATACACCTAGAGATGAATCTCGACTATATATTTTTGGTAAGCTTTGCCACGTCTATACTGACGATAATTTTGCTAAATATCGAGGCGTACGTTGTCATCTGTCAAAAAAATTCGCCTCTTCGTAAGTTACTCTTAAAGAATTCGACAGCTATAAAAGGGATCTTATTCATATGGACAATGTGTATTATGGCGTCAGCCATAGAATTAAACTTGTATGATCATTTTGTGAAAGAAATCATGTACGACATCTACGTTTCATCCACTGTTATGTTTCTATTATTCCCGTGTCTCATTTTTGTTTTGCTCGATTACTTCATCATATACGACCTGAAAAGATCGAAATCAATAACTGGAACATGGCCGAGCAAAGATGTCAAGCGTTTTATTTTTCTGGGTAAGTAAAATTTTCACTTTAATGCAAATATGGTGATTGTTTAAGTATCTATAGATTTCTTACGCTTCTTTCTTTTTATTGAAACAATCCGCCTTCTATAATGTGTATAGTTGGTGTTAATATTGGATTTTTTCTAACTGTGGCACCATATCGAATTGTGAGAGCTATCGCTCTCATAACGCAAACTTATTATAACAACATGGCGATAGAGATAACGTATACCATGGTTAAAATGTATCCGATAATTCTACCAATAATATATTTCATAATATCGAAGGAGTTCCGTCAACTCTCTCGAGGTTCGTAATACAAATACACTAATTCATAAAAAAGGTAATTAATATAAAAATTAATAATATTTATGTTTCAGACAAGACTGCAGTGTCAATGGAACCTACGTCATAACGTAAAAGATATGCGGATATATAACGAGATATCAAAGTATATTTATGCACAATTCCATTAAATTCCATTAGGTAAGTCTATCCAATTTTTTTATAATCTATGTAATCTATCTTATTATATTTTCTCGTAAAGGTTTATCCATTGTGTGCATCTTTTGGATAATTTATTATTCCTGAGAAGACCTTAAAACTCGCGCGTGCGATAACCAAGTACATCCGCTCTCACGAGAGAAAAAAAACGATGTGTCTGCACACAAATTTTCGAATTCACTGAGTTTTCAGTATGCAAATTAGTTTTCATTTAACCCTCTCCTTCAAAAGTCAGATCAGCATTGTACTTAGAGACTGTGTACTTATAAAATAAGGAAATATATTATCTTATTTTATACAAACTATAACAGATATTATTTAAATTATAAGTTATCGCCATCTAATTATGCATGTAGTACCATCACGTAACACTTTAATTTTAAAGTACTATGTGTAATTATGAAAAATATGTATTGCATTTGAAACAATAATAATAAGTTATCGCACTAAACAATTTTTAAGAAAATTCTGTTAAAATATATAATTTAAACGGCTTATATCGTGTATTCAACGAACACCTCGTTGAATTAAGATTATACGTCGGGTAAAAGGCAGGTATTTCCTCCAATCTATTCACCTGTAACGCGGTACTTCCTTTCTAACGAGAAGTCGGCGTTTATCAAATCGAGGATAAAACCGAGTTTACAACTACCAAGCAGCTTGCCTGTCCCTTCGTGATTAGGAATTCCTCTCGCGGCTCGTTTCGTTTTCCTTCCCTCGCGATTTCATGACAAGATCCAAACAAGAAGGTATGCCAATGGAGCTCGTAAAGATCGAGCATGTATATATATGTATTTAAAAAGATAATGTAAAGTGATAAAGATCCGTTAACACTTATATAAACATTTATAGTATTTTGAGTGTTAATTATCTTTTATAATTTTTTAATGTCTTAAAGAAAGCGTTTAGATATATTATATAATCTCACGGTATTATCCTGAGAAACTTGCAAAGTAATATATAAAACTTTTTAGTCTACTTTTTAAAAATGCTAAATTAAAAAATAGAATAATTTCTTATAATCCTTGATTTTTTACAAAAAAATGCAAAGAAGATATTTGAAAACAATGTCTTTTCACGCCTCAATAAATAATCTCTGTAAAATGCATTGCTAAAACGTGCGATATATCCTATGTGTCGTCATTGTGGAGAAAAAGAAGATCACGAAGAACCAAGAAATCGATGAAGCAGAACGCTCAGACACATACTTCCGGTTCAAGGAACGAACTATGTTTGCCTTTTTAAACACGTACTAGTCTTAAATAATTGATCTTTATAAAATTCCAATTTTAGATTACTATTAAAAATAAATAAATTTGATATACTATTTATACTATAAATAAAATTATACTATTTTTACTAATAAATAAATTTGATATACTATTTATACTATAAATATGATATATACTATTGTACAACAAGTTATAAAAAATATAATTAATATTAAGTCAAGCATTTAAAACTACTTGAATGAAAATAAACAAAGTACATTTTACAAAAGTACATACCGCGATAAATTATTATACTAAACAACACAACTTCTAACAGAAGTTATAACAGATTCTTATTTCTGTATGTGAATTTTAAACTAAACACTGCCTATTATAGAGATTAATATTAATTTTTTTTATTTTTTTCCAATTTTAAAAATTAATATTAACCCTAATCGCGGGTTTGATGGACATTTTTTCAATTAGCACCAAATCTCCAGATAGCATTATGAAAATTTGTTTATATAACAAATGTTTTTCACAACTTCATAATTTTATGTTACATAATTTTAGTTTTCGGATTTTGAACTCAAAATATAAACAAAATTGTGCAATTACGTTAACTGTAAACAAAGATATATTATCATTAATTTAAAGTTTTGTCGGGTACATTGGAATATCAGTTAAGGAAATTTCGGAGCAAATACCGCTTACAATTAATTAAAAGATAAATGTATTTAACATCAATATATGTATTTCAATATGTAAAGAAAATATTGTATTTTTTTTGTTCATCTTTCATTATGTGTAATTATAAAAATTTTATCATTGACACTGTTATTTTTGTAATTTAGTTAAATAATATTATAGATATAGTATGTATAGTGCCCTCTTGTTAATGCGAGACAAAATAAATCTGTAACTTCCAGTCTTTAACTTTCTCCACTGATTTGCATCACGCTAAAATTTCATTTATATTAATCTTTTCTTGACCTCGTATTCCAATTTACTTCTAAGAACATACAAGAATCGAAAACATCATTTTACGCAATAAAAATATTAGTCTCGGTAGTTTAAATTATGAGCACATACTCGTCCTTGCAGTCCAAATTTCGCAACACTGTTACGAGCGCTGATCGCGCGACGATGCATCAGCCTGTATGACTCTGTGCAGTTGGCGTTCTATAAATACCACGGGCGATTTTTAAAAATGCAGTGACAGTAATAGCGAGCGCTGTCTTGTATAACCGCGTTAAAATATTTTTAGCACCATATTCTTTCTTGTTGTTATCTTAAAAGCTCTCGGAGAGAGAGAGAGAGAGAGAGAGATGTGAGAATTGTAAAGTGCAACGGACGGCGAAGCGGGTTTCAGCGCGCAGCGAAAATCGAACATAGGATTACCGAGACCGGTGTTACAGGTGTATGCATATGTATAAACGCATCGCTGCACCGTGGGGGACATGGGAAAGGCGATAGACGCCACGCTGTTTGCGGTAGCCAGCGGAACGGATGAATGCGAATCGAACGTAACATTCACCCGACGCGACGTGTGAATGAAGCGACCGCGTAACGCGGATAGAAACTCCATTCAGGCTCGCCGCTTGGAAAAATGCAGCGCGACTGTATCGATTGCGATCAACATCGAGTTTGACGTGGGGGCCGACGAAACACCCGGAGCTTTGTTCAACCGTTCGCTTGTGACCCTCGTGATACTCTCGAAATATACGCGGTCTTAATTATTAACCTTCCGACGTAAGACGAACGTGCGTTTCTCTATATCGCTTTCGAAACAGCTCGAGAAGCGGCTGGAGACGCGACGATAATAATAACGCAATGAAAAAGTCGAAGAGAATTTTAGCAGTATAGGTATAAATCTGCTTCAAACGGTCTTTTCTCTTCGGAGAAAACGGGAACGATTGTCTGCGTCTTGCACTATCACTGTGAACTAAAAAGAATCCATGAGGCAGTATCGGATATGCTTTACCAAACATATCGTGCGCAATTTATGAAACATCCTCCCTCGACATAAATTAACGTGACCTTTATTTTCACGCTAGCTTATCCAAACACCGATAGGCCCTGGTGCGCTGATGCATCGTGGGGGAAGTGTTTTATCAAGTGCGAGTGCCTGAAAAGCCTCGAGAAATTTCTAACGGGTGCAGCTGCCCCGAATAATGAGTTTGGGAATACGGTGCAAGCCTTGCACAAAACTCTAGTCTTGGCCTGCGCATGTTAACAAATTACGTTGTATATTTTAGCTTAAGAAAGTCAAATAGCTGTCACTAAAAATAATTAACCTGCAGGAACTTTATATTATAAAAGCTGATTGTAGTAAAAACTTATGTGTACTTAATAAACAAAACTATAACAATAAACTACAAACACTAAAAATAAACAAACTTATTCAACTATTTAGTGAAATAAAACAATTATTTAATGTGATCAAGAAGTGAAATAAAGCAAAAATGTATTCGGAAAAACTAATAAACATAAATTTTCAGTGTTAAAAAAATTTTAAAGCAATATTCAAGTACAAATATTTAAAAAAAAAGAGATAAAGAATTGTGTAGATATCATCATATTCGAGCTTAATGCCTACGTCCAAGCTAAGTTTAGTAATCGTTACAGGTTTCAGAATCGTTTCTGTTGAGTAAAGTCTCGCAAAGTTTTAATGAAATCATAACCGAGAGATTCCGCGCAAAGTTATGCTATCTTCGACATATTGCTCCTTTTGCTTACGTGCAGTCGCAGATAAAATCAGAACTTTATACAAAGTCCGTCAATGTTTTTCATGAAAATAATTAGATTAAAGCTTTCATGAAAAAGCAATTATGGCAAGCAATATTAATTAAAATAATTTTATTATAATAGAGATATAATTTTTAATAAATAATAAGATGCATCAATAAATTAAAGAAATTAAAGAGTACGGAAATTTTTCTAATTCCTAAGATTAGTTGGCAAGAAATTATTAAAAATAACGCGTGCATTAAAAATTATTATTGCGATTAAATATTGTAATCGTTGAAATATGGCTTCAAATATACCAACAGATAAAACTGGCTGACTCTGTTTTATAACGCTGTTAATTTCGTCATCCATTTTCGTAATTATATTCCCGTCGTACTGTGTATGCTTACTCGATTTTCTGTCATTCATATCGATCGAGCAGTCGCGAATATAAATTATTTATGAATTCCCGTACGAACGAATACATCATCGATTTTCATCGTTGACATTTCGCATGCCCATCACGTAGCGAAGATGATTAAAAGTCGGTGCCTCCGGGCACGATTTTTTTTTTTTTTCATTCCCTCGTACGATTTCGCGGTACAGCAATAAAGGTTAAAGCGTGATTGAATGTCATATAAAATAGCTTTGCACTATGTTAATATTTATTCGTCGATATTCACATTATTTGAGAAATGATATGACCTATCGAATTAGAAAAAATTTGTATTCGCTACACGAATTATTGTTATTTTGGTTAATTAAAATTATTTTATATATGTAAATGTATTATTTTAGTTTGTATTTTGTTTTTAATTTATTATTATTATTAATTTTTTACTTATTTCTTGCTATTTGTTTCATTCTCGCTAAATTATAAATCTCTGCATAACGCATCATCGAATTAAATCGCAGAATATACTCACATTATATTAAATGCACTGCGTAGAGAGTACATGGGTGCCTCCCGACGAAACAACAGAGTCAAGAAGCAATTCAATGTGCATTCAGTGGGAACTTGTATGAAGAAATGAATGGATCTTTCGTCGCTGTAACGAGAAGTTGATATATGTCTTCGCCGTATGTTGAGACGCAAAAGGAATCTTTCTCTATAATAAGATAAATAAGACAGGGGCTTTGTTAACGGAGAATCTTTTGAAGATTCTGGTTATACCACTGTGCAAACGTGAAATAAAGTAAATGTGTAACAAAAGAACTTCGCAAGAGACGACTGCAAGAAACGAAAAACTGGATAATAAAAATGACAAAAGAAGAAAGGACAGGTCGCGTGTGTTTCTCTCAATTTTAAGTAATTTCGCTTCATTCTATTTAAGTGCTGCCTACGTAATTGCGAGTTTACGTTGGAGAAAATCGACGCGTTAACGAGTAGCTGAATCTTTAACATCGCATCTCGTATAAGCCAGCAAGGCATCACTTTCATCTAAAGAGCCAGGCTCGACGATCAATGCACTGTCATGTGACACCCTATACATACCTACATTGCCTAAGGCAATGCGTGGGTGGGCGTTTTGCGCTGAAGCAACAGGACCGAGGAACGTGCAAAATGTAGAATGGGCATAGAACGGAGCGCCCTGTACAAATTCTTTGTTTTAAAAAAATGTCCATCATGAGTCAGTCTCCACTGTGGCGAACGGAAAGGATGCTGCGCGAATATATATATATATATATTTCGACACACATCTATTTATACATGCCCCACGCTATAGCCATGTACAGCTGACTCCAAATTTCACTTATTGTCCTTGTCGGATAAATTAAATTTAATCTTGAGAGAGATACTTGATTAAAACAGGATAATTTTTTATCCGCAGGATGTAGTTAACGCATTCTTAAAAACTTATGCAACGCACTTAGTAGCGTGGAAATGCTTAAATCGAAAGTTAAGTCAAATCATAAATAATTCTTTATCTAAAGTGCTAAAAAAAAGGCTTAAGTAAGAAATTTAACTTATCACTTCCGGCTATCTAATCTTGCTTATGACTCCTTCATAATTATCAATAATCGAACATAATTATTTGTCCCGCGTAAAATAATTGCAGGCATCGCCGAGTTTATCGGCGTCTAACGGTAAACATTAAACTACGATAAGAGCGACAAAGACGCACCACACACGCTCGCTTGATTTAATTAGATTTTAATGAAGGAGATATCTGGCTCCGCCGATGCACAGTGGAACAACTCCGTTTATTCTCTCTTCTGAAACGCTTCTGTGTTATGACGTCCTCGTAAAATTTCTGCTCAATACAATCCTGCATTTGAGAACGAAGAAGAAAACGAGTGAAAGACGAAGAATGGCATAGGTGCTAGCGATCGCATTAAGACTGAATAACTGCCCATACTAACTATAAAAACTTCATCCCCAGCAAACAGAAAGATCATTTTTTATACTACAATAGCGAGAGAAATAGAATAACAGTTTTCTCTTGTCAATTTATTACAATTCAATGAAATATTGCAATGTTACATAAAATGTAATATCATAAATAATAAATTACAAAAACTAACTTAATCCCTATTAAATTCTATCATTTTAAAAAGTGCATTTTTATTAATGCAATTAATTAATAATCAAACTTTCCTCCAAGATGTTATTTCAAAAAAAACAAAAAAATATGCGTAAAAATAATTAAAAGGCTACGTATAAACAAGCAACATTTTAATAATAAATAGAATTAAGAAATGACAATATGTCGCTCAAAATTTATTAATTTTGTATTAAACTGATTTAATACAACTCAATGTATTAACATTTCTATTTCACGAAAGAATGTATATAAAACGTAAATCGGTATTTCTCACAAACTTTCAATAAAATAATAGAGTTTTGTAGTCATTTATCGGACTTCCGGCATATCGTTTGAAATCTCTTTGCGGTACATCTACCGCAAAAAATAAGAAGCACACGAGAGATTACAGTTAGAAATATTGTATACTTATGTGAACAGCAAAGTGATCCCGTCAATCTAAACTTATCGCAAATAAAAGAGATGTAAAAAAGAGTGAAAAAAGTAAAATTCAATATTATACTTTCGCAATGATTGCAATAGAAAATTAAGACAAGACGTATTACGTGTATTGACTTACGTGGAATATTTGGCATTAAAATAAAATAATTGAACAAAACCACATAACTGAACAGGTACCTAACTTGCCTGAAACTGTCATTGTGTCTATATGCAAAGTAAACTCCGGTTTGCTTTCGTTCGCATTTAGAATGCGAACGGCGAACAAAAGTACATAGTCAGAACAAGCTAAACGGCTTATTGTTCTGAGAAGGAACAATGATGTGTGGGCAAATTACGGGCAAAATTTTCCAAATGACAATAGATCGACAAATTAAAGAGAGGCTTGTACCTCAAAAAAAAAGATCGAATCCATCTCGTAACCGTAAATAAAATATTCGCAATATCATATCTACCTTCTCGTTAGCCTTTAGAGAATGAGTTTTTAATTGCACGTTTCCAAGTTCATTTATCTTACCAGTGATACATCAAATTGCGCACCTGTATAATGGGAGTATCTTTAGATAGGATAAGACTGCATTTTATATCTGTATTATCGCATATTTTTAGACGCTAATGTCAAATGATATCAAAAGTCTTGACTTCCTGCTATTTATTTATCATTTGCAGTTAACACAATCAAGCAGATAACATCTACTTTTTAAATTACAATTACATCTTTGCAATCGAATAAAACAATTATGGCATTAATTGCGTGGATTAATGAACTTCCGCATACTAAACCGGTTACGATCGCGTTACTATCTGATAATCTTAAAGCTGAAAGATTGAAGTTTGAAGCTTAAACATTATCTTTTTCAAAATATAACATTCTAGATTATATAAAAAAAATTAACGTTAAAGATAAGTAAAATATTCAAAATATTATTTACAATTAATTATTAAATAAATTAAACTTGTGCAATTAAAATGTCGAAATTTTACATAGATATTATTTCCAAACATAAATGAATAAATGAATAAATTATCAGCCCTCTCTTATTAGACACCTTAGGCGTAGTTTTTCAACTTCACATTCAAAACTTGAATCTTAGATTCAGATTAGCTGTACCCTTTCATTCAGCATTCTCACAAATCAAATCGCGACGTTTATTAAACGCCACAAATGAACGCTAATCCTGGCGAAAGTGCAAGGCTAAGGTTCGAATCTCTTGCGCGCGACGCGCTTACACCGTTTACGCGATACGCTTTCTGCCCCAGCAAGGATGCTATTGCTGCACTATGTAATCAAGGTCGCCTATCGCGATAAGATTGCACGATTTAAATTCCTATCATTTACGCGCGCGCAGGTGGTCCCCGATGTTTACGCGGTCATGTCCTTATTAACGCGTCTTGTTATGCAAGCGCAATGACATATCCATCCCGTGTTGCAGCTATCGCATTTATATTATCAAAACTTTCGCCTCTTTCCGCCTATCTAACATAAATTTTATATATATATATATCTGTCTCTTATATACA